AATATTGTCTTGCGATTAAAATGGTGGTTAAAATGTTAAAATCAGCCTAGTAGATCGCGAGATATAAGCATTTTAGTCTTCATGACTATATAAAAAGAAAATATATAATCACAAAGACAAAAATACTTATATCTCATGATTTACTGGGTCGATTTTAATGTTTTAACCGCCATTTTGATTGCAAGATGCTTCTCTGTAACTTTAATTAGAAGTTGAAAAAAGATTTACTTAGTAAAGAAAATGGTTTAGTTAAAAATCTTCAAATTCAAAAATCCTAAAAACAAAACATATTTTCACTTTTTACTATGTTTTCACTGAACTTAAACATGTTCATGAACTTTGAACTGAACCTGAATGAACCTGAATTTTAAGTTCAGGTTCAGTTCAGGTTTATAAATTCAAAGTTCAATTCAGGTTCAGGTTCAAAGATCTGCAAAATTTGTGGTTTAGGTTTAGGTTTAGTTTAGGTTTATTGAACCTAAACTTGAACTGAACTGAACCTAGGAACCCTAGTAAACTGTATTTTAACAAACCAGAAGGTATTAGCAAAATATGAAACAAAAGATCACAATTTAGGTCTAAGTATATTGCAGCAAGCATGTACTCTGGGTTTTGTAATAGAAGAAAATGAAATTATAAAGAGCTGGAATTTAGACATTACACAAACAGTGAATAATGAAGAGATCACAGGTGTCTTTGAGCGTTTAAACATGGCTTATGAGAAAATGAAAGTGAGCAGCCTGGGTTTAATTTTAGTTTCACAGCTCATTGCAAAGGATAGCAAAACAATGCATATATATTTTTTTACTAATATAGATATTTTGATTTTACTTTAAATTTGAATGAAGTTGTCTTTACAACTTCCTGGCCAAAATCAATGAATTTTTTTTATTTAATTCTAAATATTTATAAAATTCAAATAAAAAAAATTTTATTAATTTTAGTTAGAAGGTTGTTGAGTTACCTTTACTTAAAGTTAATAAAAAAATCAAAATACTAATCAAAAATAGAAGCTATGCCAAATTTTTTTAAAACTTTAAGCAAAGATATCTTTACAACCACTTGACTAAAACTAATAAAGTTTTTTTTATTTGATCTATGGATCTATAAAATTTAAATAAAAAAATTTTGTTAATTTTGATTAGGAAGTTATAAAGATACCTTTGCTCAAAGTTAGTGAAGAATCAAAATATCTGTTAAAAATAAAGCTATATCAAATTTCTTTAAAATTTTGAGTGAAGGTATTTCTACAACCACTTGACCAAAATTGATAAAATTTTTTTATTTGAATTCTATAGACTCATAGAATTCAAATAAAAAAAAATTAATTAACTTTGATCAGACAACTATTAAGATATTTTGATTAAAATTTTAGAAAAGTTTTACTTTTACTAACCTAATTGTTCTGTGATTTTCTGTATATTGAGTAATTTTGCAAAGTGCCAGGCTTTAGATAACTTTAAAATTAGGATGACTTAGTAGATGGTAACAGGACCTCAAAATATATATATATATGAATAAACTCTAACTCTAAATCTTAGTTCAAATCTAAAAAAATAATATAAAAAAATATATCCTAAAAATTTTTAAAAATTGTATATTAAATAGGGCTTAATTTTACAATCATCCAATTTCACAATCATTTGTGATATTTCTTAATATATACTTTTGTAGTATATGTATAAAAATATTTTTTCTTTTACTTTTAGTAAAAAAAAAAAAGATTGAAGAAATTAGTTCTTTGATAGGCTGACATAGTTTGCAAATAAGCTAGTAGAAAAATTCTATTGGTATAATCTAGCTCTCAGAAGCTAGTGCAATAAGTTGTATTTAGGACTCTCAAAATAGCTAGGTAATGTTAGACTTATATTTTAAGAAAAATTTTATATTAATAGTTTTTTTTAGATTTAATTAATTTATGTTTAATAAATTTAGTTAAGCTTTGACAAGACCATCAAAGAATTAAAATATATATATATATTTAAATCTGATTGGTTAATTAGCTATTTTGTATAATATGAGACCATGTATCTATAGTAGAAATTACATAATAAATAACACACCTCTAAGTAAAATTTTTAAAAAATATATAATTAATATTTAGATAAAAATAGTATATATTTTTTAGTTTAATTTACTAATTTTTGTTTTATATTTATTGGCTAAAAATTTGTTAAACTTTGATAATTATTAAAAAAATTATAAACTTTAAAAAAGTAAATAGTTTATTAATTTAATTTAATATATATTTTTTAAAATTTAAAAAATTTTAATATAACTTTATTTAATATTCAAGTTAAATTTATTAAACTTTTTTTATTTAAAATTTGCAAACTTGTAAAATTCTAAACTTAAAAGTTATCAAGTTATTTTTGTTCAAAATTTTAGAAAATTTAAAATATGGAATAATTTATATTTAGCCAGAGCTACATTTATCAAATTATTTTTATTCAAAATTTTAAAAAATTTAAAATATGGAATAATTTATATGTAGCCAGAGCTACATGTAGCCGTATTCAATAATTCTATAATTACTCAAAATTTTACTAGAGTAATCCTGTTGTGTACTAAGTAAAAATGCTTCTCTTGCAATTTTACCCTAACTGCAAACCCTAACCCCAATCTAACCCTAACCTAATCCTACTCTAACCTAATATAACCCAATCTAACCCAATCTAACCCTAACTCTAATATTAGTAGCTGCAAATTTTTTTTATAAAAAAACTATTTTTGATAATACGGCTACATGTAGTTTATGGCTACAAATAAATTAATTTATTAAAATAAGTTATATTAAATTTTTTTTTAAACTTTTAAGATATTTTGATAATTATCAAGCTAAATTTAATAAAATTTTTTATTAAATTCTACGGACTTATATTATAGGATTCAAATAAAAAAAAATTAATAAATTTAATTTAGTAGTTGTCGAAATATCTTTACTCAAAGTTTGAGAAAATTAAAAAATTTTTAATTTAAAAGAAATATAAATGGGCTGCCGTCAATAGATATAATTAAAAAAATTTAATATCTTAATTTTCACAGCTCATATATTGATGAACTTTGAGGCTATCTTGATGATTTAGTATTCAAAAGAAAGCATAGACCGTAAGCTTTCTTTTGACTATTAAATAATTAAGATAACTTCAAAATCCATCAAGATATGAGCTGTGAAAATTAAGGTATTAAATTTTTTTAATTATTTCTATTGATGGCAGCCCAGATAACAAAATCGGGAGATATAAATAATAATGATGCGAAAAAAAAATAATTGGTAAAAAAAGACAAATAATAAATATTTAAATTAGAAATCATGAGCAAACTTAAGACGCAGTTTTTAAAATAGATTAGTATGGATATTTTATTGAATTAAAATTTTAAAGATTATTATAAATATTTTATCGAGATTAAATAATACATATATACATACATATATACATACATATATATATATATGTATATATGTATCTAGATTTAGGGGTTATATCTAATTAAAAATAGCTTTTAACACTATGTATGTAATTAAAATTAATATACGGTAATCTTCGAAATATTGTACGTACAATTTTTTTATAATAAAATTAATCATATCTTACCTTTTTTGCTAATTGTGCAAAAAAAAAGAAAAAAGGCTTTTTGACCTTAAAATTAGACAATTTTAATTTAAGCTCTGTAAGATCATCGTACACATATAAACCTGCGAAGCTTAAATTTTTAAAGCTATTAATATCAATAAAACTTTTAATTATATACATTCAATAAATCCGATATAAATATATACGTGTGAATATATGAGTGACGCCAAGGGAAAATGGGACATTGGTTTATAATTGATTATTTATTTAAATAATAAATGATAAACCAATGTCCCATTTTCCTTTGGCGTCACTCATATATATTATATAATAATATTAATTATTTGTTTAATTAATTTTAATTATTCACAAATTTATTAAAAAATGTGACCTAAGGATAGCGTCAATGTTTCTAATATACCGTAGGCTGCGATTAGTGCAAGTCAATATTAATTAACTTTTTTCATTTTTTTTTGTAGAGCTTATAAATAATACATTAAGTTGTTTTATACACATAAGAACATATATTTATATTTTATTTTTATTGTTTTATTAGGTAGAGTAGCATCCGCGCACGATAACAATATATTGCCTGCGAAGAGGACTAAGATATATATACCGAAAGACAATGCCGAGTCATAATTAAAAATTTGCCTACATTCATGCACATCGAAAATGAATCACGTGAGAGGGTTTGACGAACAACTGTGAACAATGTATGACACAATATGAATGTAATGAATGATGGCACGACTAGAAAATATTTTTTGATCAAATGATATATTTGGAGAAATGATCTACAAACAACCTGCATTTCTGTACGGACGAATCTTTGAGGTCGCAGTGTCACCTGTTAAAAATAGGCTTTAAACTAATTAATTCAGTATCCAACAATGGGCTAAGCCGTTTCTTTGGGTCAACACTAGTAATCGGATTGGTACAAATCGGTTCAACATACACTATTCATGTATTATTGTTGTTTATCGCATGGTTGAACTTTAATAAACGTCTAAAGCGGTACTAATTGAATGAGTCCATAGTTTGTGATCATGTATAAGCCTAAAATCCTTCTTTTAGGCTTGCAAACAATCTTTGTGTGAACACAGTTAGAAATATAGCCACAATCCGCCTTACAAGTTAAAAATGTTACAATTAGTACAATTAGTACTGATTGATTGCATTTCAGAAACTAATGAGAATGCTTTATTTATATAAAAATATGTATAATGCACGTATTTATGTGTTTCAAAGAAAAATTTTGCAACTCACCAAAGTAGGCAATAGGAGTGTGTAATCAATAAAGTTTTGTTCAACCATGCATATATAGACCTTCGATTTGATATTCTTTCTTCTTGTTGTTGTTTGGAAAAATTAGGCCATATCTATTCCTCTTTGTTCTTTCGTCTTTCGTCTTTAAAAATTTCAATGGCAAGCAGAAATTCGGTATTTCAGTAAGTGTAATGAATTTTCCAAACTATGTTCATTAAAAAAATAAAAAGTTTACATTCTGATGTCATGATTTTTAAAGAAAATTCTTGAGAAAAGTTTTTATTCGAAGACGTAAAAAGCCAAGAAGTCGTTTTAGTCGAAGTAGCAAACGTCCGAACGAAAGATTAACACATAATAATGTTACAAACAATGATAATAATACTTTTCGTGTCAATAACATGCCTGTGAACAATGAAGAGAAGAATTATCTTACACCGTTAAACATTAATACACCCGACCGGACAAGTACAGGACTATGTCGGGATTGGCGCAGCGGCAACAAAATTATAGATGACCTTATACAATTAATCAGATTACAATATCCTCATCCAGCACATAATTTAAATTGGATTCCATACGAGGAGTTTGCGAATTGTGAACATATTGCAAACGGTGGTTTCTCTACTATTTACAAAGCGACATGGACCACATCTGGCCAAACTGTTACGTTAAAATCCTTGAATAATTCTCAAGATATAAGCATTAATTATTTAAATGAGGTTAATTTTCATTTCATTTCCATTTTTTATTTGATTTTGATTTTTTTTCTTATCGATTCGATTAAGATAATTTTATTTTAATAATCGATATATATATAATTTATGTATATATATATATATTTCTTTTTTTTTCTTTCTTTTTTTTTTTTTTTTTTTTTTTTTTTTTTTTAGATTAAGGCGAATTGGGATCTATTTTCTCAACCTCAATTTTTGCATTGTCATGGTATCACGCAGTCACCAAGCACTGGCGATTTCATAATGGTTATGCAATATGCACAATCAGATCTACGTTCATATATTGAACGTACCGACACGTCTAGTTGGAAAGATAAACTTCGAATTCTTAAACAAATCGCAAGTGGCCTAGAAGAATTACACAAAAGAGACCTTGTTCATGGAAATTTACATAGTGGTAATGTCATGAACATTGAACAATCACATTTTGTGATTGGAGATGTTGGATTAAGCGGACCAGCCAACGAACCAGCCTTTAGTGATGGAATCTATGGTGTTCTACCTTATGTCGCTCCAGAACTTCTTATGGGACTAGATTATTCTGATAAATCAGATATTTACAGTTTCTCTATGATAATGTGGGAACTCTGTTCGGGTATGAAACCATTCTGTAATAAAGCTCACAATCTCGAATTAGCTAAAGAGTTATGTGAGGGAGAAAGACCACCGATCCCCGTCGGAACTCCTCAATTCTATTCTGATCTTATGAATAAATGCTGGGATAGTAATCCTAGTAATCGACCTGATGTCGCTGATATTTTAAATGTTGTTCATCACTGGTTGGTGAACGATTCGCTAGATGTCTTCTCGCGGAAAGATGGCTTAGCGCCTGCACACAACAATATTCGAACGCATCCGGATGCGGTATATCTTAGCAAATTGTTGGATTTTCCTGAATTACGTGGAACGACACGACGTCGACAACATCTTTCTTTGAATATTCCGCGTTCCGTATCCGAAGGTAGTTCGAATGACTTATCCCAACAACCAACACAACCTTCCCAAGATAATCCAAAACACTTGTTATCTTCTGGAAATTTATCTAATTCAAAATCTTTCCGAAATACATATAATCACCCTCCAACTAACAAAGATACCAGAGAAATATCCAGAGATGTGCAAGGTTATGAATCTGGGCGACCAGAAATAGGTAAAATCTGTATTCTCGTGGTATCGTTGATACTTTTAATTCCTCCTTTTTATTTGTTATTGATTTTTTATATAATTTAATCATTTTATCTAGTTAACTCCAAAATTAACCCCCGAGTTATTAACCCCAGAGGTAATATACTCATATATAAGTTTATATATTCAATTTTACAAACTTTTTAGCTAATATACATTATTTTTATTGTTTGTTACTAGTTAAACCAGGCGTGATTAGTGTTTTCATACCTGATGATGGTAAATTTATTATTATTTTTAAGTATTTTTAAGTATATTTAAATATATTTTAAATATTTTCTAAATACATATCTATTTTTTTTTTAAAGATATTGAAACACTACAGAAATATTGGGCAATGGATTCAATGAACTTTAACCTGAACAATCTGAAAAAAAAAACCAAGTCGCAAATAAAGTATAAGGTAATTCAGTTATTAAAACATTACAAATACATTATTATATTATAAACAAACTATATATTAAATATATTGTTAATATTTCGTAGTAACGATTAATGTTGTGCTTGCTACGTACTTTACAAATCCCTACCCTCATTTTTGTCTTAATTTAATACATGCAAAGTGTATATAATAATGTTCTTTGCTTGTATTTATTTTAAGGATTACTTTGGCATCTTTAATGCTACTCCGGAACATTTGTATTTCTTTAAATTCATGGAAAGACTTGAGCATTTATTAGATATACCACGTTAACAAGTGTACATACTGTCCTTTTTATTTTTTCTGAGTTTTCTTAGGTATGTTGATATATTACCTTAAACCTTCATTTTTTAAACTTTTTTTTTTTTTTTTTACATCATTAAATTCGAGAATTATTTAATTTGTATAATTATTGATTTTAGGTAGAATAAATCAATATGATTCATTTATTTATTCGTTTTATAGAAAAAATTTATAAAGCCAAAAATATAGTATTTAAATCATAATTAAAGGTGTATTGTATTGAGTTTAATTATCATTTCAGATTTTTTTTTTTTTTTAAACACAAGTAAATAAAAAATTTTATAAATTTTTTCGATTTAAAAAATTAATTGTTTCAATTCGACTTAAATTTTGATATAAATTATTATATTGTATGATTCACTTAACTATGTGTTCAAATTTTTTAACAACATTTACTCTTCGTATTCTCTTTCCAACTGCTTCCATCATTATAAATCTCTTTTTTCCAAATTGGTACCTTCTCTTTTAATGTATCAATTAACCATTCAGCAGCCTTAAGTGATTCATGACGGTGAACACTCGAAACCGCAATTATCACACTAGTTTCCCCAACCGGAACTATGCCTAATCGATGATAAACTGCTATTTTCATGAGTTGCCATTTGGTTCTGACGTCAGTGATTATGGATGAAATCTCTTTTTCAGCCATTGGAATGTAGGATTCATATTCTAAGTGGACTACTGTTTTGTCTAATCAAAAAAAAAAAAAAAAGAAGAGTGATAAATATGAATAAGTTGAAAATAACTGGAAATTAAATAAAAAGTGATTGAAATATTTTCCTTCAAACGTGTTACGAGTTGTACCACAAAATGTTGAAATGGCTCCAGCTTGGTCATCTTTGACTAAATCGACGATGTTTTGAAGGACTAATGGATCGGATGTTAGTTTTATAAAATCCTTTTCAGTCTTCGCCATTATTGTTTTCAGAAGGGAAGATAAGGTAAAACAAAAGTTGATCTATTTTATTAGTGTGTATGTATTACACAATTGTGTTACATTCTACTTAATAAGAAACTAATACACTGCGACATAAGCTATTTATTACTGGTGGTAACCAGCATAACTGGCATTAAATATTTAATATCTTTGAATGGCTTCCGGTCTTCTCCATATTCTCACGCATATATGTAAAAATGTTTCAAATATTTCGTGCTGCGTTCACATTTCAATTCTCTAAGTTAAACGGGCACTTCGACAAACCCTTAATGCAAAAGTGTGTTACGGTTTTTCGAACCAGCTTTCGCATTGAAAAATCTCAAATAAATATGAAAAATTTATAAAAATTCTTTTACCATATTAACAGAAGTATGCTATTTATACTTCTAAGTTGTAAATTATATTTTTATGATTCTAATAATAAAGATTGGCTAGATATTACTATATATATATAATTATATATCTAGAAAAATTATAGGCAAACTTGTTTTTTATAAATCGATATCGATTAGGGTCCTTGCAAAGACCGATTCGGACCGGTATTTGAACTAGAGTTGCTGGTGAAACTAATCTACAATGGTGAGACTAGAGTTATAGATGAAACTAATCTTCAATGATGCACCGTTGGTGCACCAGTTTCCTGGTGAAATTAATTAGTTTCACCAACAACTCTACTTTGAACCGAGATTGAAAGCTTATTCCTTGAACTGGTCTGGACCGGTTCTGATCAGAATCTCGGCTGATCAAAATCATCCAATAATATAGCCTGTTGAGATACGTGTTCCATAATTGCAACCGGACCTATCCAACCCTAATCAAACTCGGACTGTAAAATTTAATTAATTTCAAACTCGAACTAGACTCGAATTTATACCAGCATCAATATCATAAAGAATGTGGCAACCTTGTAAAGGTAATTTTTTTTTATTAAAACAGAAAAAAGTGTAATGTTCAAGCTACACCTGTTTTTGAAACATTACAGTATGGATGACGGCATCATGCTGCACAGCCTGAGCAGTAGATTTAAGTGTATCTAGTCGACGTGCTATTTTTGCAAAATGGTTTCTCACCTTAAAATTATTCCAAAAAAGTTGGCATAGTGTTCTTGCAATTGCATCTGCTAATGCTTTTCTAGTTCAAAGCTGCGATCATTAGTTTTTAATGAATTAAGATATACTTCGAATGTAAAATTATTAGAGTATTAGGGTTAATGAATATAAAATCTAGTAAAGAATACAGTGTCTGTAGATAATAATATTACAGAGTACTATTTCCTTAGTTATACCCGTGGTTTTTAATATTATGTATGTATGTTAATAAAATTTGCAATTAACAACTTTAATTTAATGTGTAACAACAATTACACGTAATCTAATGAATCTGAGTCAAATTTGATCTGACTAAAGATACGAACATAGTGCCATAAAGAGTTATAATCATAACTTATTACACTTTTAGGTCTGACACAACTCAATTTCAAAGTTTACTTTTAAATCTCCCATTCCTGGTTATTATTTTTTAAATATCGGTAATACATATTTAGTAATGTAAACCGGTTTTACTAAACCTGGCTCGATTTGTTATTAAAGTTATTTTCAAATCAGTCTTATGCTAATGCTTTAATTTGAATGATACTCACATTAGCTCTGCAAATATCGTCATACAGGCGACGTTATGATGCAAATTTATATTTAACACTGTAATCTTCATTTGGAAAATTCGCATTATTCTATGATTTCATGTTATTAGTCCGATGACTTTTCATTTTTGTATAAATATATAAAAATTCAATTTCGAAATGATTTGTTCCTAAATCATCTTTTTTTTTTTTTTTTGCAATTTGTGTGATAAAGGAGATTTTTGGATTGCTACACTTCTGTTTCTTTCACGAGTTTCATAGATTTCTATGAATATTAATCAGATTAATATTGTTCCCACTAAAGATGGTGCGAAAAACATGCAAAGCAGTATAGATGCCTGTGCTAAAGTCTTAGGTTGGTTTTTCACGTTTCAAACTTGAAAACTATTTAATTTATCGTATAAATTTGAATATATATTACTGTATCAAAGAAAATGAAAAACCAAAGCAAGAAGAAATTTCTCCAAGCCAAAATTGCTTAGTCTTTCCTATGTCGTCAAACCATAAATCCGCAGCGGATATAAATTATAGTAGTACTTCTGATGATCAAAAAAGTGTGAAAGATATCGGTGATATCCCGATTTTTGGTACAGTAGTTGGTCGATTTTTTTCATTACTCACATTTATGTTATTATAAGCTCAAAGAATTGCAACAAACTTTTATGTTGTAAATAGGACTGGGGAAACAATCATTCGCTTCAGATTCACAAATCAACAGTGATTTCGCTAAGAATAACAGTATAACTGACAAATGTTCTATCGTTTCCGTTACCGATCCAGGTTGAGCGTGACGTTGATATTAAGTGTTTACCATTGCAGTGCTTTGCTTTAGGAATAATAAATCTTTTGCTAATATATCAATGTTCATTATTTTAATGCAGTGCTCGCCTTCCTGATGCAATATTGGATGATGTCCTTTTAAAACGTGAAATTCAAGGAAAACTAAGTAAGGATGCCATATTTGTGGCATTTCGTTAATTATTATTGAATTTAGTTGTGATAGTTTTTCACTTTCTTATAGCAAATTATAATACAATCATTCATATGCAGATCAATACATTATTCTTAGCGCACGTACGTTATGTAGATTCTCATTTATTAAAAAATAACGAATAGGAGTTCGAACTACAGTAAGCATAATGGCTAGCGTAAATAAAAAAAATTAAATAAAAAAATTGACCCTGTAATTAATATATTAAGAATTACAGAATTCATTATTTCTAAAATGAAAGCATGCTAAAAAAAACTTCATATACAATTTGACATAAAATTAAATTCAATTTAAAATATTACAAGGCTTTAGCACATTATCTAAATAGACAATGATTATTTCATATAAGACCAATACGGGTTTATTTGAGCAATTGAATAGGTATTAATTTAGAATTTATGACGGCTATCAAGTAGTCAAAATGTCAATCCTATAACTTGAATTTTTAAAAAAAGGATGTGAATTCTGAGATTTAACTTGTCTATAAATAGTATTATATTATCGCATTATATAATTCTCAATTTTCGTTGCAATAAATAAATATACCAATAATTATGCAAAGTCCATTAGTCTCTGTCATCAAATTTAATTTGGCAAAAAAATACAATTATTGTTTTTGCATGAACTTCACATAATACATATGACATTTTTTACTTGTACAATTGAAATTATAAAAAGCATCTATATATATAACATTATTATCATTATATATATATGTGTATGTAATATATGTTATCGCTTTCTCCGCTTAAAATTATACTTCGATATAAAATATGAATAAATTTTCACGCGTTAAATGCATATTTGAAGAGAAATGGAGTCTTTGCCTTGAAAATGACCCTACGGTATCATGTACCGTAAGGTCATTTTCAAGGCAAAGACCCCAAATATTAGGTTAAAATCTGAGTCTTGAATAAGTTCTCTTTTTCAAGCATGTCTTTGAAGCTCTGGATTATCTTTACCAGGCCTACCGAAAAATTAATTGCAATTAAATTATCACAAAAATAATTGAAACTCAATTAATGACGAAATAATTGCA